CTCTGCTTTAAGTGATATCATGTTGTAACCACTAAGATTAAAACACACTCACACACACACACCAATCCATACCCTGTACTCTCAGAATTATTGCTGAGAAGGTCAATGTTGAGAGCTACCATTTATTGAGCACTTGCTATGCTCTAGGACACATACTAAACAATTACAGACTTTAACTTGATCCTCCCAATAGCCCAGTTAAAAATACAGCTCTCTTCCTTGTCTTAAGGGGAGCCGACACATCTCAGCCCATTGAATTGCACCAAGAAGTGGTACCCAGGCAGGAAAGCCATGTTTCCATCTTCCCATAGAAAATTCCAGGTGGAGGAAGGGGAAGGACAGAGTGCAGGCTCCTGCCCAGGAAGGCAGGCACACTGCCAATCAATCCCCTCCTTCAGCAGCCACTGCCTCTCCACCCTCACCCACACCAGGCCAAGCTCGACCACCGAGGCAGCACCAGCCTTGGTGTGGAAGAAACACCGTGCAAGGTGGCAACAAAGCTCCCAGGTTCCCAAGGCAACAAGCTCATCCATCTCCCCAGCCTGAAAGGACTCCCTTAGCCAGTCCCTGGAGTAAAGGATTGAAGACTCCTCCCACCATTAAGATACCAATGGGTAAAGCCCTCCTCCTGGCACCAACACGCCCACTGAAAGTGGGTTCTCCAATGGCCTAACCCAGTGGTTGGCAAACTCATTAGTCAACAGAGCCAAATATCAACAGTACAACGATTGAAATTTCTTTTGAGAGCCAAATTTTTTAAACTTAAACTATATAGGTAGGTACATTGTTATTAACTTAATTAGGGTACTCCTAAGGCTTAGGAAGAGCCACACTAGCTGAGGTCGACCCCTTCCAACTCTCCCATCCACACTCGTCTTGTATACTTGTTTCAGACGAGTGTGGATGGGAGAGTTGGAAGGGGTCGACCTCAGCAAAAGTACCTCAAAACAATGTACCTCCCCCGCGCTGCGTCTCCTGTCGCCCGACCCACCCACACCCCCCACTTCTTCTAACGCCACTTTTTCAAAATAGACTCGCCCAGGCTGAAAACCGACTTCTGTGCATGGACCACGAAGTTTCAATCGCACTGTACGTGCGCGCCCACACGTGGTATTTTGTGGAAGAGCCACACTCAAGGGGCCAAAGATTCGCATGTGGCTCTCGAGCCGCAGTTTGCCAACTACGGGCCTAACCGGACAGCAGGGCTCTGAAAGGATGGGCTGCTCCAGCCCCTTGTCTGAGCCTCCCTTCGGCTCGTGGCAGGTCTGGTGTTCCGCCATGGTTATTTGGTCCTCTTTCTCCTGGAGCTTCCATACCCTCTACCAAGCTCCCATGTTTTCTTTCAATCCCCTTGTCCCAATCCCACCTCTCAGCCCATCTGTGATGCCCACAGCGCCATTCCAGACCCCACCCACAATGGCCATTCCTTCCTCTGACCTCTCATAGCTTTTAGTTTAAGAAATAAATTACTTGGTAACCTTGATTCTTAGTTAGACAGGTATTTATTTCCACTCTGCTGGTTGCTGTGTTCCCACCACATTTATGCTCAATAAACTCTCGCTGAATAAATGAACAAATGACAGTTTGGAATCAGAGGAGATGGGCCAGACAGAGCTATGGAGTGGGCACCTGAGGAGGGCCCCAGGAGGCTGCTGGGAAGCTTGGAGGGTACCTGAGGGTGCTCTGGGGCAGCAGAGGCCTCAATAGGGAGAAAGAGGGGCTCCATATGCAGATCCTGACACCCAACAACCCCTGATGTCTAGTCAGGACCCTTTGAATTGCAAGTCACAGAAAGTTAACTAAAATTGGCTTAACAAGAAGGGAATTATTGGCTGTCATGGGTGGGAGGATATTGGAGTGGCTCATAGAATGAGAGCAGAGTTCCATAAACCCACACCCCAGGAGAGAAAATACAAGACCTAGAAAATGCCTCTCTTTTCTCCTTCCATCCCCTCCCCTCTCCTCTCCTCGCCTCTCTCTTTCCTCGCTTCCCTGTATCTGAATTCCAGATATGTTTATCTCACATCACGCCTCTCTCTGCTCTCTCGCCCCCTTCTCGTTCTATCTCTCCATCTCAATTGCACTGTCTCTGTTTAATCCCATTCTCTTTTACAGCAGAGACTGTCTCATGTCAGAAAAAAGAGCTCCGCCCTAGCCGGTTTGGCTCACTGGATAGAGCGTCGGCCTGCGGACTAAAGGGTCCCAGGTTCGATTCCGGTCAAGGGCATGTACCTTGGTTGCAGGCACATCCCCAGTAGGGGGTGTGCAGGAGGCAGCTGATCAATGCTTCTCTCTCATCGATGTTTCTAACTCTCTATCCCTCTCCCTTCCTCTCTGTAAAAAATCAATAAACTTTAAAAAAAAAAAAAAAAAAAAACAGAAAAAAGAGCTCCTCGCTCCCTGGCTTCTCACAGCTGGCTGCCTCCCCGGCACCACCTCTGCAGGCGTGTAGCCAACCACACCTGGGCAGTGAGGACTGTGGAAATGGACGGAGCCTGGAGTCTCCTCAGAGCTCCTCACTGCCCATCAGCTGGGCTCAGCCTCCACATCTAGCTCCATAACTTAAACATACAGCCTCAACTTGTCCCGTAGGAAACCTGTCCTCAGAGAAGTACACCCCGGTCTCCGTGCAATCACAGACCTCCCACGTGTCTCCTAAACCTCTCCCTTCAGCACCAAGGGGCTTTGTGGGCACTGAGCACTCACAGACCCAGCAGACTTCGTGCAGATGTGATACGATGACCATTAAAATACATATTTACATCGACAGTGCGTCGCACAGCGGCCGTTTATCCAAGACTTAAGGACACCAAGACACGTGAGCTTGGGGTGTTCTAACAAAAGCCTTTCAGATTCCAACCTGTATTCTCCTTGGTCGTCATCACTGCCCGGCAGACGCCACCTGCAGCATATTCCATTTTCTTTCCCCCATCTTTGTATTTGTGAAGATAAAAGCAGTTTGAAACGAGGAGTTGAAATTACCCACATTTAGACCACTCTGTTGGAAGTTGTAATCTCTTTGTTTTTCTTCTTGATTTCTCTGCGTATGAATACAGTGTTATCAATAGTTGTCCTTCATGATCAAAGATCATGGTGATACTTTCCCAAAAGACAAGGGAGAATGAAAATCATCACCATCATCTACATAAGATCACAGTAAGCCTCTGTGTCATTCTGGCCAGTCCTATCTAGTGTCTGACAACCTCCGTCAGGTGGCTAACAGTCCTGAAACCTACCTAGCCCGGGTCCACTACATCTGTCCCTCAGAGCCACACTTGGAGGACTTTGTAACAAAAATTCATTTCTTTAAGTACCTGCTACATGCCAAGCACTGTTCTAAATAGTTTCCATGCCCTAGCTGGTTTAGCTCAATGGATAGAGCAATGACCCAAGGACTGAAGGGTCCCGGGTTCAATTCTGGTCAAGGGCCAATATCTCAGTTATAGGTTTGATCCCTGGCCCTGGTCGAGGCACGTGCAACCAATCGATGTGTCTTTCTCACATCGATGTTTCTCTCTCCCTCTGTCTCTTCTCCTTCCTTCCACTTTCTCTAAAAAATCAATGGAAAAAGTATCCTCAAGTGAAGATGAACAATAAGTAAATAAGTAAATACATAGTTTCTGTGTGTTATCTCATTTAATCCTTCTGAAACCCCTCCACAGTAGCTATTGCCAATATCCCCATTTTACAGATGAAGTAACTGAAGCCCAAGAGATGGAGTCCTTTGCTCATGGGGCTGGTAAGAATTCAGACCCGAGCAGCCTCGCTGCAGAGCACAGGAGCTGAGCCCTAACCCTACTACACCATGAGGCCAAATGGAGAGCCATCGCTCCGCCAAGCTGGAGGCCAACCGCGGCACTGCTCTTCACAGCTTATCCACACACCCTGTTTAGTGACATAGGGTCCCAGAGACAAAACCAGTCCTAAGCCTCACTGCCACTCCCCATGGTGGCACTCTGCCAGCAGGTCTGCACACCAGCAAAGCGCCCCTCTGGCCTGCCCGGTTCTCTCTCCGTGTGCAATGCCATCTCTGAAACTTGGTCCGTACGCGATGTCTCCAGGCAGCCCTTCGAGCTGTGACAGTCCACTACTTCCTTCTCCTCCCCGCCCCACACCCTCACACCCTCGGCCAGTCCACATGTCCCTATGCTAATTGCCCTTTCCAAAGTTAACATTTCCAAATGGCAGGAGAAGTTCAGAGTCATTTAAAGGAAAAACGGGCGTACTTGAGACATACTATGAAAATGTTAGGTTTTCTTCATCTTTTTTTTTCTTTAATCTCATCCTTACCCTCCCTGTAGATTCGGTGAGCTCAAGTGGCCTCCTGTTTATTGTTTTTCCCAGGGAAGATCATTTCAGTTCGGTTCCCACTGTTTCATAACACAAGAGCTCAACTTACACACTTCCAAACAGCGGGATGGGTGCTCAGTTCTGTTTTCCTCTTCCCTCAAGAAAAAGCCTCAATCTCAGTTGCAGGCTTAAACAGACTTAACAGCCATAAGCCCCGTAAGCTCTGGCATGCCATAAATAGTCCTTTTCATCAGGAGCTGCAAATCACAATTCTACTGTAAAAGCCAGAGCGACTCAGAGAGCTGCCCACAGCACTGAGCCCGGGGCCTTGCATTTTAGTGGCATTTAATAAAGATTTGTTGATGGATCGATTGATCTGGGTCTCCCATATCAGGTGTAGCCTGAGTTTCTTAGATTTTTTTTTTTTAAAGGGATTTCAACTAAGATTTAAAACCACCTCTTAATGCTCCAACCTCTCCATTCCCATAGTCCTTTGGGCCCAGTATCGTAGAACCTATTTATAATGCATGAATTTCAAAGCCCCTGTGGGGACCAGAGGGCAAGAAGGAAGGCAGGACAGTCCAGTAAAAGGCCCTACGCCATCTGGGCTATGGCACAATAAGAAGCAATGTCCTCATGTTAGCCTGGAGGAGGTGAGAAAGGGAACCTCTGGATCATCAGAAAAATGTAAACTAACAATTTGGTCTTACCGGTTGAGAGCTTTGGAGTCAGGAATCCTCATTCCACCACCCCGAGCTCTGGGGCCTTAGGCAGGTGACTCAGCATCTCTGGGCAGCGATTTCCTCATCCACACCAGCACCTGGGCTTCTGTCAGGATCGAATGAGGAAACATGTGGTGAGCCCCTGAGCTACTCTCTGCAGGCAGAAAGCATCACTCATCCTATATAATAAGGAGATAATATGCAAATTGACCCTCACTCTGTCACGCTGTCACAAGATGACTGCACCCACAGCAGAGGTAGGGTTCCCGTAACAAGCGATCAGCAGAGACCTGAGGCTGTGCCGCCCCCCCTGGCAGGGCTTGATGGGGGACCTCAGGCCACGCCCCCCACCCCAGCCCCAGGCCGGGGGACCTGAGGGTGCACTGGGGGACCTGAGGCTGCACCCACCCCGTCCAGCGGGGATTGACCGGGGACCGGAGCTGTGCCCCCCCACCCAGCAGGGCTTGACGGGGGACCTGAGGCTGCGCCCCCTGCCTGGCACCAGGCCGGGGGACCTGAGGCTGCACCCCCCCACCCAGTGGGGCTTGACAGGGGTGAGGCCAGCCGGGTCTGGGCCTCACACGATTTCGAGGTGCATGCAGGTGGGTGGAGACTTGACTCTGGGTCCCGCAGCGCGCCCCAGACTCTGACAGGAGGAAGATTTTCATATACATTTTACTAATTGTCTTTCATCTCTGACACTTCTATTATAGAGAAGGGGCAAATAGCAATATTAAAATATTTCCTCTAATTAATTCCCTTTTAATGTGCACGAATTTTGTGCACTGAGCCACTAGTGTTATAAATAATCAGCTTAGCAATACAGCAAAGGAAGTTTTACTGTGCTTCTAATTTTATGAAAATCGAGGGTCCGTATATACCAATTATGGTAACTCAGCTAACCAGAATATCCAACTACATAGAATACCCGCATCTCCCCAAATGTCTGACAATGGGAGCTCGCATTACATATCAAAGTGCTGAGGGTAGGAGAAACAAAGTCAGGATCCATAATAAGTGAGTTTAATTGGGACCACAAAACACTCAAGATGCTAAAATAAAAGCACACCACACTGTTTTGAATGGAGTTATAACTCAGGGAACAGGTATGCTGTAGGAGCTACTCCAACTTCATAAAAAGCCCCTTTCATCAGCATGGGGAAGAAAGAGCGCTGACTGGGTCTCTCTCTGTGTTCCTGTTTTAGTCATCAGACTTGAGCAAGAAAAATAAAGGGAGAGGGATGTCTATATATAATTAGGAAGCAATTAAAGCCACGTAAACACAGCTGTAGATAAAAACACAGGTAAGGGAATTCTTTAAAAAAAATTAAATGCAACCTATCAGCAGGCAGAATGAAAATGGGTCCCAAGGCAGTGAAGAAACTTGGTAATAAACTAGCTGCACCCCCACCCATCCAGAAAAGGAAAAGTGAGTGAGGGCCAGGCCATTTCGTATTGCGTCTTGACGTGAGCTTGGGTGAGAGAAGCTTCTTGGGTGACTGAGTAACTAACTTTCAGGGAAAGAGGAGCCGTGAAAGGACAAGGGAGGGAACGGCTGGGAGTTTCCCTTGCTCAGCCTTTCTCCGCAGTTACGACATCACGTTTCAAGGAGGGATCACTGTCAGGGTTAGAATGACCTGGGCTACATAAAGAAATCAATTCCGTGAGTGTTTACTGAGCGCCTCCCATGTCCAAGGCACCATGCCAAGTGAGAGGTATAGAGATGGGCAAGACTGGTCCCGGATCTCCGGAAACACCCAGACCACAGGGACAGCAGCTGTGAGCACAAGGTTAAAGGCAAGTGATGCTGAGCACAGGGACACAGGAGGGAGGTGAATTTCCACCAAGTGCATCAGGAAAGGCTTCCTGCAAGAAGTGGCATTTGAGCTGACCTTGAAAGGTGGATAGAGAAAATGCTTCAGGCAGGGTAATGACATTCGTTCATCCACCCACTCATCTATCTACCCATCCATCCATCCATCCATCCATCCACCCAATGAACAAACAGCTATTAACAAATAGCTACTGATGGCAGAATTTTGAGTAAAAAGAGATAGAATCCCCATCCTTGAAAGCTGTTAATGTAAGAATCGAACCTTCAGATGAAAACGGCGGTGTGGCAACTGGCCTGGAGGGGTGGTCCAAGGTTCTGCCTGAGGCTCTAACAGGAATGATAGATCGGGCAGAGAAGTTAGGGAAAGCCTTGCTGAGAAAGTGATGGTGGAACCAAGAACTGAAGGGGGAGCCGGAGACATCCAGGCAAAGAGAGGGGGGCTGGCAGCATTCCCAACTGAGGGAGCAACATGCTTCAAGGTGGGAAAGAAGCGCTATGAGAACAAGGGGCTGAAACCGTCCAGGAGTCTGGAACACGGCATAGGGGGATAGTGTGTGGAGATGAGGCCACAGAGCCCAGCAGGGGCACTGGGGTCTTGAGCGGTCTCGGTGAGAAGCTTCCACCCTTTATTCTAAGAACAATGGACAGTCTTCGGAATGGTTCAATTGGTTCAATTATATGGAGGGGAGGGAGGAGGTGGGCATGAGAGTTTTTTTTGGAAAGATCATCTGGCTGAACTGCAGACCAGAGTGGATGAACCAGTGGTCCGGCAGGAGGTATGGAAAAGGCCAGGGCCGGGAGAGCAGCAGTGGGCATGAGGAGAAATAATGTCAAGAGCTATTTAGGGGCAAGTCAACAAGACTGCAAGCTAGATTATGGGGCTTTGGTAAGGAAAAGGGAGGTGGCTTGGATACGTTTGGCTCTCAGGACTGGACAGATTGCAGTGCCAATCACCCAGATAAGGACAATGGGCAAGGGCCATTGTGGCAGAGCGAGATGAGCTGTGGGGATTAAGAGGTTTGAAGGTGTGGTCAATGTATGTCTCTGCAATAAACTTTATGTCCCCTGAGGGCAGGATTCTGTCTCTTTTTTATGAAAAATTGTGGCCTTGGCAACTAGTGCAATGTCTGACAGATAGCAAGCGCTCTGAAAATGCTTGCTACTTGAGTAGCTAGTGGGACGAATGGATGACCTTGGTTTTGGACACGTAAAGTTTGAGACAGTTTGAGACACCTGAGGGATGAGATGTCAAGTACAAAGTTGGAGAGGTGGACTGCTGCTCAGGACAGAAGTCAAGATGGGAGCTATAGATGCATGATCACCCAAAGAGAGTAGTTCGAGGGAAAGGAACAGGTCCTGGATCCAGCCTTTAGGAATCCTGACAGGTCAGGGCCAAGCAGCGGAGGGCAGGTGCACAAAGGAGAAAGAGAAAGGGCAGCCAAAGTCGGAGGGAGTCTTTCAAGAATGAGAGAGTGGTCAACGGTGTCGATTGCTAGTAAGATGAGAACTGAAAAATGTCCTTTGGATTTAGCAACACTGAGGTCATCGGTGACCTTTGTGGGAGCTGTTTTTGTGGAGTGATGTGGTGGAAGCCAGATTGGAGGGGGTGAGGAGTGAGGAGTGGGAGGTGATGAAACGGTGACAGGGAGTCGACACAATCTTAGGAGAAGTTTGGCGGTGAAGAGGAGGAGAGAGGTGGGGCGGAAGCTGAGCAAAGGCAGGAGTGTGCCCAGCAGGTCTGAGAAGGGACAATGACCAAACAGGACTAGAACAGTGGTTCTCGTCCATTTTTTTTCCTGCCCCTCCATCCCCTAAGGAACAGACACCCCAGATGATGAACAGAAATCAGAACATCCAGAGAAGGAGTTGATTTGACTGGGGCAATGAGCTTGACTTTTGGAGACATTAATGGGGAGTAGGGCATAGGTAGGGTAGCTGGAAATACGGTCCCGGGCAGCATTGTCAAACTACAGCTGCTGACCAAATCCAGCCCCCACCCCCTACCTGTCTTTATATGGCCAGCCCATGAGCTGAGAATGGTTTTTACATGTTTAGATGGTTGAAAAACAAAAAAGAGAATAGCACCTCGTGAGATGTAAAAAGTATATAAAGTTCACATTTCAGGATCCACAATAAAGTTTTATTGGAACACAGCCACATTCATTGACATACCACCTGTGGCTGCTCTGGCATCTCTACGGCAGACCTGAGTAGTTACGACAGACTGATGGGCCCACATTTCAAGATATTTATTATCTGGCCATTTACAGAAAAAGTTTGCCAATCCTTGGTCAGGGGCATAGGGAAGCAATCAGAGCAACCCCCTGACGGTCAACGTTATGGGAAAGACTCAAGTTAAAGGGGACCAGATTACACTGTGCATTGAGGAAAACAGGTGGCTGGCTATTTGTGGGGTACAGAAGAGATGGCCGCAGTCTAATATCTCTGGGTTCAAGATGGGCATTTGTCCCTCCTCCACCAGTGTGCCCCAACTCTTGCCTCTGTCAATGAGCAGACCCCCACAAGGCTCAGCGTAAAGGACACATCTTTAGGGAAACATCCCCTTCCCTTCCCCGTCTGAGTCTCCCAGCCGTCTCAGACAACGCTTCTAGCGCTTCTCCTTTCCATCACTCATCACCATGGTAATTAAATAAATATTTGCAGGATCCTTGGTTTACTGCCTGTCTCTCCCCCTGGACCGGAGGTGCTGTGGTGTAATGACTAAGAGAGCAGACTGCAGAGACAGGCTGTGTGGTTCAATCCTGGCTCTACCATGTACTGCTGGGTAACTAGCTCACTTACCCTCTCCTGGCCTCAATTTCCTGATTAGCAAAATGGGAACACTGAGCGTCCCAGATCACTCAGGGCTGTGAGCATTAGCTAAGGTAATAAGATGGAAGGTGCATAAAGCAATACCTGCAATATGCTAAGAGTTCAATAAATACATCATCCTTCCTTTCGTTCTCCCTCTCTCCCCCTCTAAACCTGAGAGATTGCCCCCATTTTCCTGCACATGACACAAATCATGATGGTGTTGCCTGTTCCATCCTGTTTCCTTTGACTTTTCAGCTCTGAAGTCCTCCTGGGTTTGGCAGTCATCTGCCACCTCCTGGGCTTCCTTTACCCTTATCGTTCCAACTCCAATATGTTTTACTCCTCCTGTGAGCATCCTGGCACAGCTAACTCTTTGAAGCCTCCATGACTAACCTTTCTGCTCAACTGCTAGGCCATTTGTGACCTCAGAGAGAATAAATTCAGAGGCTGCACCATCA